TCAAAAATTTTCCCCCTCACCATAGGTCAATTATGGTAGCAGCTCCTGATTATGCTATTAGCACGAAATTCTATTTTTAAAAATAAATAATCACTGTATTTATAGAATGTATGTCAGACAAAACTATAAATAAACCACGTATTTCTAGATCCGCTTAAGTTATGTGAAGACCTGTTTTTAGATCCCTTCCTGGTATCTACTGGAGCCTTAATAATACACTGACCTCTAGACCTCACGTTATAAGTATAAAATATATTTTGCAGATTATTTATGAATAATTTATTTTAATTTTAAAGGTTTCATCTATAAGCAGACATCCAACCGTGTATATTAAAACTATGTATTTTGAAATATTTATTGATAAATATAGATAGATACAGGTACAATTAAACGATCGTTTAAATAGTTTCTGTATAAAATATTGAATTAATGCACGGTACATACAAAACAATAACTTGTGTGGAATTATATGAAAAACTTATTAACTTAATTAACGAAAGGGATATAATTACAAATAATGTCGCGTCATGTAGGCATATAAAGGGAGACTATCAAAATTTACAATGGCTTTTGTGAGTTGTTAACACGAGTCACGTCCCTTAGATTGATAGCGCCACCCGTTACATAACTGTGCGAGCTCGATGCTATCACGAACAGTTATATTATTTTCCTCTACTGTCTGCTTTAGCTACTAATTCTCGAATGGACCACACCTTTCTAAGAATTGGTATAATCAGACGTGGGTCAGTCTTGGTGTGGTCGTAGGTTCTTAAAACAAAAGCTAATGAGAGCACCGGAGAAAAAGGGCCACAAAACATCCAATAAAAACCATACACATATGTAGGAGATATCGTACAAGAAGAAACCATAACTCGTATGAGTCTTTGTTAGAGATAGGTTGAGCTGCTGGTGTTGTTAAAGTCATGTTTACAAAAGTAAATGTTGCGTTTTGCAGCATAGAGCCGTTGGGTGTAACAGTTCTCTATAGATGGGGGTTGTAGTGGTCTAGTTTTCCTCCCATACATCTGTCCTGAAATGGCCAACCCACACGTTGAAAACAGAGAGCCAGCCCACCCCCACCTAAGGCGCCGTACTTGTTGCTCCAGGGGATGCACGCCCCTAGTATAAACACTCCCAAACACAGGACCCCCACAGGCTCCACAAACACTGACGAACTCATCTGTGTGACTGGACCATCTATGGAATCAGCTACATAAGCAAGTCCAACAACTGACGAGCCCATAGACGCAGACCAGTACTTTGGGTAAAAAAATGTGATCCTGCTCTCCTGAAAACCTCCAATAGGACTTTCTTAAAATATCCTCCACTGTATTGGCCGATAGAGCACTGATTCCTGCACTGATAAAACATATTTTCATGTTCGGAACCTAAGCTACTAACATAATAGTGATTCGTTTCTCAAGTAGTAAAATTATGTATGTATGCATGTGGGTTTTGTTTTGTTTATGTTGTCTGTAACGCCCCAAAAGTCCTTAATAATGTTCCTCGTAAAAGTAGGTCAGGAGCCGTAGCGATCCCTTCACGGGCCCGGGGACAAACTTTCGATTTGCACCACCCCTCGAACTTTTCATTTACACACCCACGCCTCAAACTTCAATTTGGCGCCCCCCCCCCTAAGGTCGGCCCCCGGGGACATATGTCGTCCCCCCGCCACCCCCCCCCCCCCCCCGCTACGCCTCTGAAGTAGGTAGCAGGATCAGTTTGTTCAATAAACTTTACAGTAACTTACAGTTTGGATGTTTTGTGTTAAACATCTTATGGCAATTTTTATTTGATTTTAAGTTATTTCTTAAGGTGTGTCGTAGCAAGTAACATATAATTCACAAATGAATAAAATTATAGAGCAACTGACGATATAGTACTGAGTGAGCCACTGAAGAGTGTAGCCATAAATAGACCAGCCAACCCAGGCATGTCTTTTAGAGCGTTCATGACAAAAATATGGCGTAAGTTGATTTCTGTTGGTAATCTAGCCCGCCCTGACAAACATTTTTAATAAAATAAATTCTTTGCGGTTAGAGACACAGACAGAGTTTCTTCCAGGGATCTCTTAGGGGGGGCTTGGCCCCCCCCCCCCCCGAAAAATTTTTACCGCCCCCCCCCCCCCCCCAACGAAAAAGAAATTTATATAATTTATATAGAAAATATATACTTTTAACAGTGTCCGCCCCCCCGAAGAAAGTCTACCGCCCCCCCCCCCCCCCCCGAAAATTTCAAGTGCCCCCCCCGGAGAAAAAAGTCTGGAAGAAACACTGGACACAGACACACAAAATTGCCATCTATAATCAAAATAGACTTTAGTTGTAGCACTCTGGATAGAAATAAACATAACTGGCTTTTATCTATTAAACGGCCGAAAATGAGCTCCAAAATAAAAAATGTAAACAAGAAATAATGTAACTTTATCTTTAAAGCATTAAGAATAATTGACTGTTTTTGATTGCCGTCTATTCCCTGTAATATTTCCCAATGAACTAAATTTATTTTAATTTTTGCAGAACTTAAAGGTGAAAATGTTTTTTGTGTTTAAATTTCGATTTCTAAGACTTTGGCCTAAATCAGGGTAAAATTGTTTATGTTTTTTTTTTTAAAACCTTATCAAATACAGGGAACTGTTTTGTTTTTAAAGTCATGCGTTACAGATTAAATGGTAAGCACAACCAATGTATAATTACTATGTATGGTCGGTTTAAAATGTGCTCCACGTTCCCACAGATAATGTCACTGAAAGCTAATAGGTTACATTTTTTTACACAAGTGCGTGTTAATGTGTTATGATTGAGAAATTAAGATCAAATGTGCAAATGTTATATGATCAAGTTTTATGTAAATATAAATATAATGCAGGAGAAAAATAATATCTAAAAAGCGTGGTTTCACTGTGGTTGACTGTAAATACAAGCCCATTAATAGGTGAATCTCTTAAAAAGAAAAAAAAAAACACCTATTTTCTTTTATTCGACTGCACTAGAAAGCCACGTCATTAGGTAGCACAGCTGTAAAAGTAAAGTTCCCCTTCGAACCAAACGGTCCATGAGGCAAGTGACGTAGAGTTGATCTGTTTCTGTGACCTCAGCATATGAAGAGATAGTGTGGTCAACACTACGCCAAGCCGTCTTTACTTTGCTTAATGCACGGGTTCCCAACCTGGGGGTCGCGACCCCCCTGGGGGTCGCGAAGGTCTTTCTGGGGGGTCGCCAACTGGTATACTAAACCTTAGTAATTTGAAACAAAACATAAATATTTAGAAGAATTTTTGAAATTCGGCTTCATTAACATCATTGGAAATATAATACAGAAGAAACAAAGCGCACTGTACAAAGTTGTTCTCAGTCACGAATCTATGAAATCTTCAAAACTAAACACATCATTTGAGACGAGTCATTCGGAACGCACCAAAAAATATATGGAGTTCTTTCGTCGGTAAGAAGCTAGTTGCAAACGCCAGAAACTTGATCGAACAGGAAGTTTTCACCAGCATTAGTGCAAGCATCAAATGAAGTCGCGGTAGAAAATGCCATGCAAAAAAAAAAAAACAATAGGAGAAAATCTCATCAAAAGCTGCATGTACGTAAATGACTAAATGTTAAATAACACATTTTTATTGAAATTAAGCTTTCACCATTGTTTGCTTTTCAAGTTGATAAATCAACAGACGTGAGTTCGTGTTGGCAGTTGCTGGTCTGTGTCTATATTCATGCGGATGATAGCAAAGAAGAGTTGCTATTTTGTGGAGATAGCATCTAGAAAATAAATACCTTTTTTGAAACTGGTTGATTAAAATGGGTTAGAACGGCTGTGGGGGTTTGTACGGATGGTGCGCCATCTATGTTTAGCTCAAAATCGGGCTTTCAGAAAACAGAAAAACAGCTCCCTAACCACTGCCCTAACCAATCGACATCAAGAGTCTATTGCTAGCGTAAGTCGTAAATTTTATAAAATCTGGAGCCTTCAAAGAACTGAGCAAAAACATTAATATAGATCACGAGGTTCTGCTCTTCTACACTACAGTACGCTGGCTGTCAAACGAAATGTTGTAAATTGTGTTTTTGAATTGAAATCTGAAATCAAATTGTTCTTGGAAGTGCAAAGGAAACAAGACTTTTTGGTATACTTAAAACGACATACAGTGGTTGGAGAGAGTATCATACCTAGCAGATGTGTTCGAACATCAAGATAAGCTTAACCTGAAGCTTCAGGGAAAGTGATCGAATATTATAATATTATAACTTTCCATGATAATCTCGGGGCATTTTTATCAAAGCTACAAAATTGGCGAAGAAAATAAATCTAGGAAATATTGTAAATTTGAGAAACTCTGCGGTGTGGTAGATGAATCTGATTGTGAGATGATTAAAATTTTGAAAGAAGCTATTTCTGGGCATCTTGAATCTCTTGAAAACGAACTGCATCGCTATTTCTCTGAGCTGAAAAAAGAAGAATCTGCATTTACGCATTACCCATTCTCTTCTTCCCTTGATTTTGCCAGCATTCCCGATGAATTACAAGATGAATTCTTTGATTTGCAGAATGATTCCGAGTAAGGTGAAAAACTACAGACACAATTTTGGTGTAGTATTCACCATTCATACACAAACGTAAAATTGATTGAATTTTCGAGAATATATTTTCAACACTATTCTTCGATTAAAAACAAAATTAAGATAATTATAATGACATAGGTTGGCGTTAACAAATTTTTTTTTAAATTAAAAACTTAACGAAGGTTTAGTGAATAGTATGCAATTTTACTCAAGCTATTAAAACAGTTATCAAGAGTAGTTCATATTGAAAGTCTACTAGAAAATCTTATTTTAGTGCTTATTAATTTCCATACTAATTTCTGCTTTTTAATTCTATGGGGGTCGCGGGTCACTTACTTTTTATAAAAGGGGGTCGCCACTCGAAAAAGGTTGGGAACCACTGGCTTAAAGTGAATCAGGTATCCAGCAAAGCTCGGAGACTTACGATGTTCGACGTTATTGAACTCGGATTTTAACTATTCGACTTCTCCGTCCTGACAGCTGAGGTTTAGAAAAAAATTGGTGTTATAAAAATATAGAATGTCTGTGATGAGCGTATTTGTGTTGCTTATTTATGAATGGAGAAGAATTTAACCTTACTGTGAAAGGATCACATCGAAGAAATGCAAAATACACGTATAATCCGAAGCCAACGAAAAACAACATAGCTCCATATAATAGCATAATTGGCATGTTTAGAATATAGGAAATCTTGGCGTCTCTCATTGTCTTCATGGCACACAATCTTTGGATGGTTGACTGGTTGAATGTACTGCCTAGCCTGGGGGATATCAGATATTGTGTCAGCATGCGTAAAATATGTTAATTTTTCTAAAAGGATTATTACACAATATAAATTATATTAATGGAGGATTTAAATAAAAGGTTCTGGACAAATCACCATTGAAAACTGTAAACTAAATTAACAAAACACCTCGAAAAATGGATTCTAAGACAGCAGCCAACAACTTGATGAACATGAAAACTTACCAGGAGATGGTGCAGCCCACTAAGGTGCCCCACCAGGTGTGTCTCGTTCTTGGATCAAAGTCATACACGTCAAAATTAACTCTTCCACCTGTTGAAGCTAGTGACCACGCCTCTGACCAGCCACCTGCTGTTTTGATACCTGATGGAAAACATTGAAGTGTATTTGCTATACTCTCTGGTATCTTTTACTCGCTTGTAGATTATTTATATTCGTTACCGTTTAAATTGTATATATATATATATATCTATATATATATATATATATATATATATATATATATATATATATATATATATATATATATATATATATATATATATATATATATATATATATTTATATATATATATATATATATATATATATATATATATATATATATATATATATATTTATATATATATGCTATTAATTAAACTCAGTTAAAAACAACATAAAGACATACCTGCGATAATAATAGGAAGAGCCCCACCAAACATGACGAAACATTGAAAAGCGTCCGCCCAGACAATGCTCTTGATACCACCCAGAGCTGAGTACACGGTGCCGATGATGCCAACAATAACAATAGACATCCATAATGGGATCTTCGCTGTTGTCTAGAAAAAAAAGTTTTTTAATACAAAATTCATAATATAAAATCTGCCAAATAGCATAATTTAAACTAGTCGAACCGCAAAAGGGGACACTAACCTGCAAAGCTAAAGCCGGACTGTAAAGGGCAATTGCCATGTAAAACAATGTCTGTAACATACCAACGGCCAGTGCTGACATCCTCACTGCACGTGAGTGGAACCTCAACTCAAAGTACTCATAGATACTTGTCAGTTGTAGGGAATAGAACAGCGGCACAATGGTGAACAGGCCTATGAGGTAACTGAGAGAACATCCTATATATATCACGATCACCATGGCACCGTATGTGTACAAGTCCACTGAATGGCCCATTAAAGAAATAGCCGACTGAAAAATTAATAACTTTAATGTATACGTTTTAATTTTTAAATTTATTTCTCGAAAAAATAGGGATACTGATGGAATTAGACAAAAGTGTTTAAGAAATTGCACAATAGTTGTTAAACGCTGATGCAATACATGAGTAAAGAAAAAAAATATGGAAAAAACACATTTTCAACTGTTAAAATTTATTAATGTTAAATATTTCATTTTTAATCTGTTTATATATAACATTCAACTTTATAATAATACATATAACAAAACGCGGTGTCAGTCTAACCGCAGCAGTTCTTACGAATATGGAAAATTAACGCTATCTTACCGTATAGGTGACAAAGAGAGACAGAGCGATAGGCACCACAGACATCCGTCTTCCTCCAAACAAATATTCCTCTCTGGTCGCCTTCTTTGCGTCTTTAACAGCGAACAAAATCCCGATGGCCATAGGAATCAACAAGACAACAACACATACAACATAGTCGGCCACTTGGATGCTGGTCTCTACGTCCATCTTTAGTCTGTGTGTTTATAGCTGTGTAAACTCTTCTGATGTGTTGTAGTGTGGATATCTTAACAAACGACTGGGATTTTATTTTAACTTTTATTATCTGAAGATGTCCTTTACAAGGCTAATGTGACAATTATACCTATTGTCATCTTACTTATTGAAACCTTTAGAAATAATCAAACGTTTTTTTTTATAACTAGTTACAATATCATTTTATTTATCTTTGAATGGTGAAAATTTAACATACTAATGATGTTTAGGAGTACTAAAAATGATTAGGTACAATGTTCTAATGTATGCACCATCACGCCACGCTGCATTGTTGTCTCGTCTTATCGCGAATTAACTTACTGTTATCTTCTTCTTCACGTCCAATCTTTTCCGCTATACGGGCCACGATTTGAAAGGCATTTTTTACCTACAATTTTAAACAATACTGTTTATGACTTGCACAAAAACACATGTACTGAGTTTATATGATGCCATATAAATAACAAGTGTATGTTTCAACACACAGACTTCCAACATTTTGTTTACTTTCTTCTTGTTGTTATACATCAACAAAAAGTATGTTAAGTGAGTTTGTGTTGGTACAGATGAATGTCCAAAACGTGTGAGATGTATTGATTGTACGTGTATAGTTGAGAAAATGATCACATGTGATTGGTTTATCATGACAAGGTTTAGAAAACTTATTTCCGTTGAATGTTTTCCCACATAATTGATTTACGTAAGCAGTAAACACAATATAGTTTCTTGGTTATGTGGGAAAATAAATTAAAATTAACATAGTATTTGCACTTTATAAGAAAAACCATACAATTTCAATTTCACAAAATTCATTCTGTATTCCCTATTTTATAACAGAAATTTTATTTAAATCATTGTTTAAAATGTATTTTTATAATATGTGTATATTAATTATTTTCCTCTAAGGCACTCTAAAACAAATTAAACATATGTATAGAAAACATGTTTGGAAACTTCAAGCGTACGAGTTATACATATATATTAGTTTACTATTGTTAAACACCTGTGTCTCAGCTGAAAATTTTTCCCATTATTTTGAGTTAAATATCAAAACACTTTATCGGTTTTTGGTAGTTAAATCACTTAGCTCAGTGTTTATATTGTTAGGAGAACGCAACAGATCTCTGCTACTGTTAAAGGTAGAGTTGTCTTGTTTGTGTTGTTTATGTTCCGGTTCAGGCAAGGACCACATCTTTCTAAGAATTGGTATAATCAGACGTGGGTCTGTCTTGGTGTGGTCGTAGTTCTTAAAACAAAAGCTAATGAGAGCACCAGCGATGAAGGCCACAAAACATCCAATAAAACCATACCAGATGTAGGAGATATCGTACAAGAAGAAACCATAACTGTATGGGTCTTTGTTAGAGATAGGTTGAACTGCTGGTGTTGTTAAAGTCAGATTTACAAAAGTAAATGTTGCGTTTTGCAGAAGCGTAGAGCCGTTGGTATAGCATCCATCTACAGGTGGTGGGGTCAAAGGTCGACTTTTCCTTCCATACATCTGTCCTGTAATGGCTAACCACACGTTAAAAACAAGAGCCAGCCCACCTCCACCTAAGGCGCCGTACTTGTTGCTCCAGGGAATGCATGCCCCCAGAAAAAACACCCCAACCACAGGACCCCCACAGGCTCCAAACACTGACGAACTCATCTGTGTGACTGGGCCATCTATGGAGTCAGCTACATAGGCAAGTCCAACAATGACAAGTCCATACAAGCAGACCAGTACTTTGGTAAAAAATGTGATCCTGCTCTCCTGAAAACCTCCAATAGACTTTCTTAAAATATCCTCCACTGTGTTGGCCGATAGAGCACTGATTCCTGCAATCGAAAGTTATATGTTTTAGTGTTCGAAAAAAAAAATAGTTACAAAATATATAGACACATTAATTATGTTCATGTTTTTCAAATTCAAGTTTTAAAGATACGCAAACGAATACGTCCAATATTTATTGTGCCTGGTGATTCTAATTTTTAAAACAATAGGACGATCTTCCAAAGCTCATTATAGTCTCACGGTAATGTTAGAACGTACACATAACATTAATGCGATCTACTGCTCCCTTAAAATGTGTGAATAGCCTCTCTTTAAGTTACAAAAATAACTTTATAATTCTAATGTAACACAAAATAGCAAACAAATTTTGTTTTTAAATTAAACTTTTATTTTGGAATTGTTGATGAAGACATATGTAATTAAAACACGAACCTGATGATATAGTACTGAGGGACCCACTAAAAAGCGTGCCCATAAACAGGCCAGCCAACCCCGGCATGTCTTTTAGAGCGTGCATGACTAAAAATGGCGTTATTTGGTTTCTGTTGCTAATCAGACCACCCTATAAGATGCAATTAATTAATTAATATGATTTGTTAAAATTAGAAAATAAAAAAATGAAAATTCAGTCTAATAAATATTGTAATCGATTTAATTAGATGAGTTTGACTTGGTAAAAAACAAATATTTCTTTCGTCAATCATTAGTTTTAAAAACAGATATCTAATTTTATGTCATAATAGTAAGTCGTTTAGTAAAACTTACTTTATAAGGATCGCATTGAAGAAACGCAAAATAAACATAAACTGAAAAGCCAACAGAAAACATCAGAACACCATAACAGATCACGATTGGGATGTTTAGCAAATACGATATTTTGGCATCTCTCATTGTCTTCATGGCACACAATCTTTGGATGGTTGACTGGTTAAATGTACTGCCTAGCCTGGGGGGGGGGGGGGTAATAAAACATATTGAATATCTGGGTACTAGAGCTTGTAAACATGTTTTTATTATTTTAGCTTCTATTTTTTAAATGTGTCAAGTTGTTGCTAAGTTTTATTGTTTTAAAAAACGGAAGATATTTCATTTTTTCATTGAAAATAAACAATAGCGGTAACATGTGGTAAGAAATATGTTTAAAATTCAAATTACATTGCTAAAAATATATACCAAATTACAAAGATGTACCAACAATCAACTAGTAACTATTGCTAATAAATACTGCCTACTTAATTCAAACAAAACAATTTTAATTGAAATATGACAAGATGGATGTTTTGCATCGAATTTAAAATAAATATGGCACTTAACCATTTTCCAATAGAATAACAAGAATGTAGATAAATCATGAAGAGTATTATAAAGTACATTTAAACAGTTTAACTTACAATTATAAATGAGTTGCGATGTGACTTATGTCTTTTGGTATGATATATAAAAGCTATTTTAAATTCCAAAAGCAAAATAACTAAATAAATAATTGAAGCGCTTCTCAAGACATCTTCCCTTTATAAAGAATCAACGTACCACAAGAATGTAGCCCCAACAGTGGTGCCCCACCAAGTGTGTCTCACCCTTGGATCAAAGTCGTAAACGTCAAAGGAAACTCTTCCACCTTTCACAGCTAGTGGCCACGCCTCTGACCATCCTCCAGCAGTTTTTATACCTAATAAATATAACGATAATTTAAAGTGAATAAGTTAACAGCTTAACTAAATGCTATAAAAAAACTAGATAAAGGTATTGTAAAAATAGGAAATAGACAAAGACATACCTACGATAATAATAGGAAGAGCCCCACCAAACATGACGAAACATTGAAAAGCGTCCGCCCAGACAACGCTCTTGATACCACCCAGAGCTGAGTACACGGTGCCGATGATGCCAACAATAACAATAGACATCCACAATGGGATGTTCGCTGTCGTCTAGAATTTTTGTGTGAGTAATTTGTTAAATATTTGTTATGGTTTATCAATATCAAATTAAAAATTATTTTTCAGAAATATATATTTTTATGATTCAAAAATTATAATAAATTCCAAAATGTATCTCTAAATATTAATTTCATAAAAAAATTCTTTTTGATGTTAAACCTCGTTTACAATTTCTTTTAATTTTATAATTGAAAACACTGACCTGTAGCCCTAGAGCTGGACTGTAGAGAGCTACAGCCATGTAGCAGATGGTCTGTAACATACCAATGGTCAGTGCTGACATCCTCACTGCACGTGAGGGGAACCTCAACTCGAAGTACTCATAGATACTTGTCAGTTGTAGCGAATAGAACATCGGCACTATGGTGAACAGACCCACAATGTAACAAAGAGAAAAGCCACAATATATAGTCATAACCATCACGCTGTATGTATACATGTCAGTAGAATTTCCCATCAAAGAAATCGCAGACTGTAAAAAAAATATTTACATATTAACATGCTTCAAATTTTTAATTATAGTATTAACAAAGCTGCTAAAATTAAATTTATCTTGAAAAGTTATTAATCGGTTAACTTAGAGCGTAAACTATAAAAATAAAATCGCCACTTTCAATCAAATTCTAAAGAAAATTCCTTTTCTACAGAGCACTTCCCATTACACAATAATAACTAATTGTATTAACATTTGCCGTTTGTTCATAATAATCGGATTTTAATATTACATTTTACATAATACTATCTTGCTGTCAATAATGTTTCCATTCACTTTGAATGCTGACTGTACCAGTGTTAGATATATTTAAAAAAATTAATTTGGGTTAAGTGTAATTTAAAATCAAAACTTTTCAAACTTTCACGATAAACAATGTTTTTATCAACACAACATAAAGCTTTTTTATTTTACAAAATATAAACCTAATACTAAAAAAAACTTTAGTTCAAATGTATTTGCATTTTATAAACCAGCAAACTTTTTAAATTTTTAGTGAGCAGAAAACAAGAAGGTTACCGTATACGTGACGAAAAGCGACAAAGCAACCGGCACCACAGACATCTGTCTCCCTCCAAACAAATATTCCTCTCTGGTCGCCTTCTTCGCGTCTTTAACAGCGAACAAAATCCCGATGGCCATAGGAATCAACAAGACAACAACACATACAACATAGTCGGCCACTTGGATGCTGGTTGCTGCGTCCATCTTTAGGCTGTGTTTTATTTGAACTTTTTGTAAACTTTCAATAAAATTTATAATATATAGCACGATTTGATTTGTAATACTATATTTAATTCGATTTTAACAAAAACAAATTAAAGCATATCACCTGTGTTAATCGAATTAAAATTTAGTTTAAGCTGTTGTTTTAAAAAGTCGTCTGACATTTGAAATATAACAAAAGAAAAACATACGCGTCTTCAATGTTATAAAAATCTTTGCACTAACATTAACAAAACATGTTGTTAGACCCATTGGACAAAAATTTTACTGCTTGCAGAGTTAATACACCATGGCTAATATTACTTGCAGCGCTAAGTTTAATTAGGTCGTACCGCGACTATGTTAATTAGCTTTAAAATGTAGGACGAACTGCGAGAATTTATTTCAATATTTTCCTCTTGTCAGGTAGACTTGTCGTCACATGTACTATATAGTATTAAGGTAACCATGGTTCACCTGGACGGCACTTTGACAAGGTAAACCATGAAATCTTAGTGTGAACGTAATCATATGTTCAATTGTACATCACACATGAAAGTAATTAATATTGTCTTCAGTTGGACGTCACATTATTGAAGTTAACCATGCCTTCAACAGGCGGGAGGCGTAGTACTGACCACACTATCTCTTAATATGCCGTGGTCACAGGAGTGTAATCTGCCTCATTGAACTCCAGGCCCGAAAAGGAAATTTTACTTTTTTTTCCTTTACTTTACATGCTTTCACAAAAAATTTGCAATTTTAAAGGTATACCTTGACTGTTACTCAATGTTCCACTAGTAAGTGGGCGTTTTTCTTAAATAAATGCCATGGTAACTAAAGCAAACCAACACATAGACCATAATAATAAGGTACGAATAGTAGGATCATATTTGTATGGGCACGGGTTTGCCCATACTACCGCCCAGCATGCCCCGGTATGTGCTGTGTGAAAGCCTTGAGTGCACGTTAATCACTCTCTAGTAAAGTAGAACACACTTCTATGCCGACCCAGGTGTCACGGACGTAGCGGGGCGCTCTCGAGAGCCCCTGGTTACACCACGGCAAGGGCGCCGCGTACTTCCCGTGTCTTGGTTTAAACATCGAATGCCGTGTGCCATGGTTGTCTTTAAAACGACTGTAGTCGCCATAGTACTCATAGGATAGACCATGGCGCCAAATTGCAGATTTCCTGGTCGCCGCCCGTGCAAAATTGATTTTTTTTTTACAGAAACCTCCCCTTTTCATCAACTCCCTAAAGATTTGTGATGTTCGGATGAAAGATGTAATCAAGCATATAGTACAAACCCACAAACAAACATACTTTCATTTTATATGCATAGATCGATGATATAAATATCGAATTCGAATGCAGACGATGCATCAACTTTAATATTGGACAAACGGACAGATGTTGCGAGAAAACTTAAAACTAGGATTTTTGGACTCTTGAAATATGGAGTGTCAAATTTCATATTTCGACTTTGTACGCAATTACAATATTCCCTTTTACTTCTAACACGTCATAATGAATTCATCAAATAAAAGAAAAATTGTGAGCAAATTTAAATGTGTTCAAATAAAGAGTTAACAACACACATCAGTGCACACCACATTTAAATATTGTGTTTCTTTGTTGTTATTTATTCCGAGGAATTGAATGGTTTCACCCAAGTGTTATATATAGCCTATTTGCTTTTAAACTCAACCTTTTGTATAACAGAATGATGCGAGTAGTAAACTTGCATTTAAAAGCAAAATTTTTTTAATAATTTTGCTATTTTGCATGAAAATTTGACGTTGTTACATTCCAAGTAAAGGATTGGGTAGATTCTCAAAATAAAGAACAAGAATTTCCTTATAGTGTTTCTTATACATTTCATTTCTCATTACAGCAAGAACAAATTATTTCAATTTTTGCCCATTGTTAATTAACCCAAAATCATTAAGGCTTATTTCCAATTCCTTGGCAAAAGAAGAAAGATCACTTCTACTGTTGATGGTAGAGCTGTCTTGTCTGTGTTGTTTATGTTCCGGTTCAGGCAAAGACCATAACTTTCTAAGAATCGGTATAATGAGACGTGGGTCAGTCTTGGTGTGGTCGTAGTTCTTAAAACAAAAGCTAATGAGAGCGCCAGAGATGAAGGCCACAAAACATCCAATAAAACCGTACCAGATGTAGGAGATATCGTACAAGAAGAAACCATAACTGTATGGGTCTTTGTTAGAGATAGGTTGAACTGCTGGTGTTGTTAAAGTCAGGTTTACAAAAGTAAATGTTGCGTTTTGCAGTAACATAGAGCCGTTGGTGTAGCAGTTCTCTATAGATGGGGGTTGTAGTGGTCTAGTTTTCCTCCCATACATCTGTCCTGAAATGGCCAACCACACGTTGAAAACAAGAGCCAGTCCACCTCCACCTAAGGCGCCGTACTTGTTGCTCCAGGGGATGCACGCCCCAAGTATAAACACCCCAAACACAGGACCCCCACAGGCTCCAAACACCGACGAACTCATCTGTGTGACTGGGCCATCTATGGAATCAGCTACATAGGCAAGTCCAACAATGACAAGTCCATACAAGCAGACAATTACTTTGGTAAAAAATGTGATCCTGCTCTCCTGAAAACCTCCAATAGATTTCCTTAAAATATCCTCCACTGTGTTAGCCGCTAGAGCGCTAATTCCTGTCGTGAAAAATTTTAAAACGCTATTACATTTCTCAAAAATAAAAAAAACTTGCACACTTGCAAAAAATCACCATAAAAACTACTAGCACTATGAACATTTCATATTTAATTTAATACGAGTGGATGCAATCTTTAAGTTGAATCAAAAGTTATTATTTTTATTGCCATTTATACGGCAATATGTATCTCTAATATATAAATACTAGCCATCGGTACCCGTTTCACGTGAATTATAGGCTTATATATTTTAAAATGTTGTACTTATTTGAGAAAAATAATTTATGAAATAGTTATTGGTCAAAACGCAATGTGCTTTACTACACACTTAACGATTTTAGAGACAAAGCAAAGAAATAACTAATTAGCTAAAAATCCAACACATTTAACATAACACAGGCACACACTGATTAAGTGACTTAAATGATTACGTTAAAAATCTGGCTATTCAATGGTCATTATATTGTTTTTAAGTAATTTGTATTAGTTTGACCGATAAAATTGTATATATTTCATAGCGTACAACTTGATGAGTAGATCTATAGATCTAGATCTAAAAATCAAATTTGAATGAAATAGTTCCTTTCTTTATAGTCTAAAATCGGAAGATTCACATATATAAAAAATAATACAAAGTAAGTTTGACCTGGTGTGTCTCGATCAAATTCTTTCAAATTAATTTTTTTATCCCAAATTAGCCAGTTCCATAGCTAAACAAACAAAGATTTCTATAAAATAATTAAAGCCTGAAATAGTTTAATATAGAAATTTATTTTCGGAATAGATTCTAGAGTAGATAGAGTCTAAATCTAGATCTTAGCGACTTATTAGCGTCTACGTCTAGTTTTTGCGTAGATTTAGATCTAGTCTAGATCTAGAATCTCTAGATCTAGAATCCAATTAGATAAAATAAATGTATAAGTTTAGGTCGGGAAAATAGTATTGTATACATTTCATAGCGTGCGTAGATCTAAATCAAATTGGATGAAATAGTTCATTTCTTTTTATTCTAAACTTCTCAGATGACGTCATTAGTTAATATATAAACAAAAATGACGTCATTGTTTCATGGGTTCTTTTTCTCAACTATAAACCCTTTTCCTGTTGCATAATTAAAACTGTTTTTCTACATTCGAATATGCCTTTATTTTATTTTTATTTTTATTCTTTAAATAACATGTTGGTTATACATTTAAAATATCTACCATATTATTTTCAACTAAAGTCCGTATCAAGTTCTCCATTTATCGCTGCAGATTCTGATGTGATATCCGGCGAAAATATTTTGCGGACAGAGAGAGAGAGAGAGAAGTGCGCACATTGTCTTTTATATATTAGGATCATTGATGTATACTTTTTAAATCGCTCCTTATTTTCTTCTTTTATATAATCAAATATGTATTAAAGAACAACCTGATGATATAGTACTGAGTGACCCACTGAACAGCGTGCCCATAAAAAGACCAGCCAACCCAGGCATATCCTTTAGTGCGTGCATGACTAAAAATGGAGTTATTTGGTTTCTGTTGCTAATTAAGCCTCCCTGAAAAGTAATAATGAAAATTAAATAACAAATACGGTTAAAACGAATCAAAGTAAATCAGCAAAATAAAATATACTGAATATTACTTTGAACATGATTGACGTAACTAAACAAGTCCTAGTTTATATCTCATATTCGCCTGCAAGGTTTATCAAAGTTTTAAAACAAGACAGAATATTTTTTAAATATAATACTTATAAAAATGCAAAATTTACTTCATAAGGATCGCATCGTAGAAATTCAAAATAGACATAAACTGCGAATCCAACAAAAAATAGCAGAACGCCGTACGCTAACATAATTGGAATGTTTAGAATAAAGGAAATCTTGGCATCTCTCATTGTCTTCATGGCACACAATCTTTGGATGGTTGACTGGCTGAATGTACTGCTTAGCCTGGTATCAATGTACAGTATAAAGGATTAGTTCAGTTGATATGTTGTAAAAGTATATAATCAAATATAATTATAAATAACAGTTTCAAATTAAATGAAGAATCATTTTAATCCAACACATTGGACTTTAGAGACATTCTTGAATATTTGGGTTATGTTATGAGAAGCCGAATATATTAAAAATGGTTCTTCTTAATTTTCTTGAGTATATAAATCGTCGCCATAAAATGAGTAATTTGTCGAGATATTTCTAGAATATAGATTTTGAGATTTGAAGAATAAATGATTTTGTGTCCTTTTCTGCATGCTTATTATTTTCAAACGATTGACATGGTGGAATAGTATACTACTAAATTAAAATTCATAAAATACAAGACTTGGAAATTACACATTTGTGTAATACTACGATAGACGTTTTCATGTTGCAAACCTCAAGAATCATGTTAAGCATATTATAAGTGTTTCTCCAAAAATACGTACCACATGAAAATGGCACCAAAAATAGATCCCCACCAGGTGTGTCTCACTCTTGGATCAGGGTCAAAAACGTCAAAAGAAACTCTTCCACCTTTCACAGCTAATGGCCAAGCCTCCGACCATCCTCCAGCAGTTTTTATACCTTTATGAGTTTGTAACATTACTGTTTTATTTAATAAATTACTACTAGGTTCAAACTTTGTAATGAATAACTACATACCATGTCATAAATAAATATGGCAAAGATGCGATTACTATGTAAAAGATTAATCTATCGAAAGACATTTTCATAGGAAGTAAACGAGCCAGCTAGAAATGAAACAAGCTAGACAAACAACGAAGTAAAGACGGACCTACGATAATAATAGGAAGAGCCCCACCAAACATGACGAAACATTGAAAAGCGTCCGCCCAGACAACGCTCTTGATACCACCCAGAGCTGAGTACACGGTGCCGATGATGCCAACAATAACAATAGACATCCACAATGGAATGTTCGCTGTTGTCTTGAATATTTGTGTGAGTAATTTGTTAAATATTTGCAATGCTTAATCATAATCAAATTATAAATTATCTTTCAAAAATGCATTTTTTATGGTTCAAAAATATAATAAATTCAAAAATTTATCTCTAAATATTAATTTCATTTTAAAAATTTCTTATAATGTAAAAAACATTATTTGCAATTTCTTTTAATTGTGTAATTGAAACACTAACTTGTAGCCCTAGAGCTGGACTGTAGAGAGCTACAGCCATGTAGCAGATGGTCTGTAACATACCAACGGCTAGTGCTGACATCCTCACTGCACGTGAGTGGAACCTCAACTCGAAGTACTCATAGATACTTGTCAGTTGTAGCGAATAGAACAGCGGCACTATGGTGAACAGACCGACGACGTAAGAAAGCGAAAGTCCTATATATATAGTCATTACCATCACGCTGTATGTATACATGTCGGTCGAGTTTCCCATCAAAGAAATGGCAGACTAAAATAATTGTACAAAAAATGGTAAATTATGAGTTGTTAAAAAACATACTGGAAATATGCCAATAAGTTTTTATTAAAAATTCCGAAGTTTCTTAATTAAAGGATAAACATTTTAATGTATATTTTTCTAAGCTGTACGCAGTTATCAGAAAATGTAAAATAACATTGTTTTAAGAGTACGTTTATCACCTAATCTTGTCTGACACACAGTTGTAACTTAAATTAGAACTTAAATTAATTGAGCAAGGAACACTTTCTTACCATGAACGTGACAAAAAGTGACAAAGCAACCGGCACCACAGACATTTGTCTTCCTCCAAACAAATATTCCTCTCTGGTCGCCTTCTTCGCGTCTTTAACAGCGAACAAAATCCCGATGGCCGTAGGAATCAACAAGACAACAACACATACAACATAGTCGGCCACTTGGATAGTCGTGTTTGCGTCCATCTTTATGGACTAAGGCTAGTACTTGGTCAACTGTCCGAAAGTTATACAGCTGAGAAGCAAAGAATATTATAGATAATAAATTAGTACATTTAATTATTGATGAGATAGTTACCTTTTATTTTAGAAATATCCATACTTGTATTCGATATCTGCAATTCTAATTTATTATATTCACTTGATAGGATTTTTATTAAAGATTACGTTGTGCAAGTTGATTCAATGTCAAAATATTTAAATAAAATTAATTTGTTCATTTGTGCATCTAAAATAGTAAACATCTATCATAAATAAGTAAATGTCCTTATTTCTTTTATGTTGTGTAAGATAATAGAACACAACCACATCTATGCACAGTTAGTAAAATAAATTTACATTATATCATGTAAAAGTGATAGAGCATGTAGGATTACTCCATGCGGAATAATGCAACCTACGTCATTCAGTGACACAGGTAATAAATGCAAATGCTTTGGTCGTGCTGAAATAATGTAATAGGTGAAGGTAAGCATGTCGTTGCATGGTTTTAACTGTGTTATTACCTGGTTGTAGACATGGCATTACTTAGTTAATGCATTATCTTTAAATTAAAGTAATGGACGTTGCGAAACCGTGTTCTGATCTGGACGCAACAATTCGAGGAATCTTTAACTTTTGGCAAAATTTTACAATACTCATTTAAACGACTTCTTTATATATTTTTTTGAGAGCTTGCTTTTCAGTCCTCCTATATATACCTGATTCGTGGTATGGCATGGTCGGGCGGTAAATTGTATTCAACCCAAAAGTCTCAAGCTCGGATCTTTGACTCAAGTCCATGGACCATCTCTTATATTAAGAGCGCCATTGCGCATGTGCAATAAAAGCGGATCACCATATAAGAAAATTTTACAGTGTTTCCGCTATTTACTATAATTTTCAAATGTGTTTCTTCACATGCAAATCGTATTGTCGGGTCTTTTAATGTTTCTTTATCTGTTAACACGATGTTAAATAATGTTTATATTTGTTTGGCTATATCACGAACACTGTTCCGGGGTTAATTATTGTAAACACATTTTTGTTCAAACTGATAGGGTGAGTTGATGCCAAGTGCCAAACACTTTTTCTTATGCACTAAAAATTGATTAAAAGTTACTAACATGGTTTGAAAAATTAACCAAAAAAAAGAAAAACTAAAAACCTTTTTAAAAAAATGAACAGAAAAAATGCATTCATTCAACCGTACATTGTCGTTAGAATTGCTTTAGGAAATATGAAGGCTTAAATAATACTCTTCCAACAAAAAAATCTTAAACAAAATGTTTTGAGTTTTTTCTTTTTATTTACATGTTGATGAAATACAGACCATTTAAAAATATCTTGCATTTTTCCAAGCACCAAAGGCGTTCAACCTCCATACTACTAGACATCGCAAACTCCTCCCACCAAAGCCCACACTTCTCATTATAGCGCACAAATCGGACCGTAGCCTGTACCATCAAACAAAGCCAACATCACCGAACAAAGCCAACACCTCCGAAAACTAAGCAGTACGTCTGAACATCGCCAACACTTCTAAACATAACCCCCTCCCCCGCCCCCCCCCCCCCCTCCAAAAAAAAAACATAGCTCACACCTCCGAACATCGCGAACAACTCTGAACATAGCTCTCACCACTGATCAAATATCAATTCGAGATATACACATGGACATGGGCTAGCTGGTTTATTTGCTAATAAAGGTAGTTACACTAAGTTTGGAATCAAGCTTCTCAAGTTTACTACTGACGTATATTCCCGAGATGTCATTTGGATAGGGCTTGTGTTTCAACACGGACCAAGATTTACGAAACATGGGCACAATGAGTCTAGGGTCAGGTTTGGTGTGGTCGTAGTTTCTGAAGCAAATGCTTATGAATGCACCAGAGATGAAGGCCAAAAAACAACCAATAAAACCATACCAGACGTACGAGATATCGTACAAGAAGAAACCATAACTGTGTACATCTTTGGCATGTGTGATATTGTTTACAGTATAAGATTTTGTTATATTTTCAAAAGTAAATGAATTATTGCGTAGTGACATCGAGTTGTTGGTGTAGCAGTTATCTACTGGAGGAGGGGTCAAAGGTCGGGTCTTTCTCCCGTACATCTGTCCTGAAATGGCCAACCACAAGTTGAAAACAAGAGCCAGCCCACCTCCACCTAAGGCGCCGTACTTGTTGCTCCAGGGGATGCACGCCCCAAGTATAAACACCCCAAACATAGGGCCCCCACAGGCTCCAAAAACTGATGCTCCAATTTGTGTTACGGGGCCCTTTAGTGAATTTGCCAAGTATGCAAGACCAACAATGACAAATCCATAGAAGCAGACAAGCAACTTGGTAAAAAATGTTATCCGGCTTTCTCGAAAACGTCCAAGACACTTCTTCAAAATATCCTCTACAGTATTGGCTGCCAAAGCGCTGATACCTGTGATTAAAAATTTATAAAAAGAATCAAACATACAAAATAAATATAAGTTTAGCTGAACTTAGCATTGCAGTTGTGTACCATTTATGTAATGATTGCGAACCACACAATAAACTTTCAAACGTAATCCTTATGTTTACTATCATCGCAAATATAAATGGGATAGACAACCTGTAAAGTGTAAAAATAAAATAACAACAGTCTCTATATATTTATTGCTGGTCTGTAAATTACAAGATGTTAGTACTATTAAAGGACGCACTTCCATCTATAATTTGATGTTCTATATAATAAGTTGTCGTGTTATTTATAGAGCATTCCTTTATTTGGTTGTTATGTTGTTATCAAGTAATTTTTATCGAAAATAAATTTAAGGCTTTACATAAGGCTGTGGTGCTTTAGTTGCCAGAGCTGTGTCTTTGAAAAACTCCAGGCGCAAATGACACCTGGCAGTAGTTTAAACATGTGAAAGCTTTGTGTTATAAATAATATACAGATTTGACATTTAAGAAGGGGTAGTTTTATGTTACTAATGTAGGAAATGAGCTAATTTTGTACATGTGTACAAAAAAATTCGATTTTTTAAAAAACTAAATGTTTTAACTTAGTTTTCATGCAATGACTGAGCGATAAATATTATATGTACTAAACGTAGTGCCTGCGATATTTAATCCATAATGAACATATAGTACTGAATAAAGCACTGAGCCATCCTGACCATATAGTACTGAGTGAAGCACTGAACCAACCTGATGAAATAGTACTGAGTGAAGCACTGAACAGTGTGGCCATGAAAAGACCAGCCAACCCAGGCATGTCTTTTAGAGCGTGCATCACGGAGAATGGCATAATTTGGTTTCTGTTGCTGATTAAACCGCTCTTAAAATAAAACAAAATAAAAGTGGGTTATTTTAAAGAGTACGAACATTATATTTAAATGCATGCAATACTACTTACTAACAAATAATCACATATTAGTACAATGTAATTTTTTAAAATTTATTTCTAACTCAACATCACGAAGAGTTGTGAAAAATATAAATGTAAAAGCTCATACCTAATTTTGATACAAATGGTTATAACAAAAAGAAAAAAAAGGAAACTTACAGTAACTGGGTCACATTGAATGGTTGTAAAATACACGTAAACTCCGAAGCCAACAAAAAACATCACAACGCCGTAAAATAAAATAATTGGGATGTTTAGGATAAACGACAGCTTGGCGTCTCTCATTGTCTTCATGGCACACAACCTTTGGATGGTTGACTGGTTGAATGTACTGCCTAGCCTGGGAAAATTTGGAAAACAAAGCATGAAAGATTTAAAATAAAGTTATTTTGAAGATGTTTTTAATTATTATGTCACTCAATCGTTGACACATAATTGGAATTAGCTTTATTGATTTTGTATCAAAGATGTACCAAAATTGTTGCATGTTTAATTAGTTGTGCTGTTACAAATCAAGCTTACCACATGAAAGCGCAGCCTAGGACCATTCCCCACCAGGTATGTCTTTCTCTAGGATCAATGTCGAACGAGTCAAAAGAAACTCTTCCACCTTTCACAGCTAGTGGCCACGCTTCTGACCACCCACCTGCTGTTTTTATACCTGTTTTAAATAAATAGTTCTTTAAAATGAACACAGAAACCATTTACATAAATCCTTACATTATAATTTTAAAAATATCATTTAAGATTCAAAATAGTTTTTCCTGTTTATATTGAGTATTACTTGACATCGACTGACACTCTAGCTTTAGCGATTAATTTATACCTCAACAAATCAATACGATATAAAGATTGAGACAAATCTAGGTGACTAAAAAAAGAAATAGTCAAAAGTATATATGGTAAACCAACACAAACATAATGTAAGACCTACAATCAATAAGTAAAAGAACACGTAGTAACACACCTACGATAATAATAGGAAGAGCCCCACCAAACATGACGAAACATTGAAAAGCGTCCGCCCAGACAACGCTCTTGATACCACCCAGAGCTGAGTACACGGTGCCGATGATGCCAACAATAACAATAGACATCCATAATGGAATGTTTGCTGTTGTCTATTTTAAAAAAAATACAACCAATTTTCATTGTCATTTTTAAGAACGTAATTTTCTAAAATATTGATATAGTCCTATGTAATTGTAACTATTTCAATGACCTTAACAGTTAACATTTTGTGTTGATCTGAACAAACTATGTGTGATTTTAATAAGGTCTTAAAATGTTAGCAATACAACTATTTGCTGGACACGAAATGATAACAATCATAACTGACCTGTAGCCCTAGAGCTGGACTGTAGAGAGCTACAGCCATGTAGCAGATGGTCTGTAACATACCAACGGTCAGTGCTGACATCCTCACTGCACGTGAGTGGAACCTCAACTCGAAGTACTCATAGATACTTGTCAGTTGTAGCGAATAGAACAGCGGCACAATGGTGAACAGACCGATTGCGTAGCTGACAGAAATTCCAACATACATGATGGTTATCATGGCTCCGTTCGTGTACATGTCAGCAGTGGTGCCGATTATAGCAATGCCTGACTGAAAAAAAATGAAACATTGAAATAACAGGATTCTTTTTAAAAATAATTTTCATAAACTAATTCATTGGATATTAAACTGCTTGTAGGAATATTAATTCGGATTTATCAAATTTGGTGCTATACTTAAAAAACTTTTATCTATGCTTCAATACTATCATAATCTACAGACAGTTGATAGTCGTAAGGGGGGGGGGGGGGTGGAGATGATGAATTAATGGTTGTAATGCATAAACAAAATGAGTGCCACTATAACAACACTGTAGGGACTTCTTTGTTGTTGTTGTTGTTTTTTTTTTACACATTGGTCTTATTCTACTTGAGATGCTTGGACAAAATAAACACATTTCCTCTTATGGACCAACATTTTTTTTACAACCATTTGAATTATTTTGTTAAATATTTACGTTTTAGTAAGCTTAAGACTAAAATATTACCCTTTTTCTGTTTACTGAAAATAATGACGAACTGGCTAACTTTCTTTAAAAATCCGTAGAATCAATACTCGCGTAACTTCATTGAAAGACCACACTTACCATGTATGTTGCAAAAAGTGACAACGCCACAGGCCCTAGGGACATCCGTCTCCCTCCAAACAAATATTCCTCTCTGGTCGCCTTCTTCGCGTCTTTAACAGCGAACAAAATCCCGATGGCCATAGGAATCAACAAGACAACAACACATACAACATAGTCGGCCACTTGGATGCTGGTCTCTACGTCCATCTTTAGACTGTGACTGCTTTTTAAAAGACCAACTAGATTTACAGATACAGTTTGCAGATTTGTTTTTTGTCGAGCTTTTATATTACATTTAAAGCTATATTGTCCTATTCTCTTTGAAATGTGAAAATAAATTTCCGTACCATAATGTTTAAGAAAATATTCTGCATTTTGTTTCGTGGTTTTTATGTTTCTTAAATATAAATACGTTATGGATGCTTGGCTGTAAAATATCTTGTTATCTTATAATGATAATGCTGTATGGAAAATTATACATCCTGCAGATTTAAAGTTGACTATATGTTAAGTTAACATTGTCCTTGTCTTGGTGTCACAATGTCTGGAATATTAAATCAAATAGAGCAGCCGTGACAAAAACTTGTTAATGTATTCTCTAAGTAACCGTGTCTAAATTTTATGCACGTATATTTATGAACGTTTCTTGCAGTGAAGGTGTTCGGGTATTAGAAAGAGTCCATTCTTTGAGAAAACATTTTGAGGATATTTTCTTTATTTTATTCTAATACAAATTTATTTATTCATTGTTTAATGTTTATACTAAAACGTAAATGCACAAATTTAATGCGTCTTTGACCCGATTCGAAAATTTTACACCAGAAAATAGATGTATGACTAATTTAAAAATAAATGAGACAACCCGCTGCGTGGCATACGCCGCTATTTAGTGACGGATGAAGACTTCATGAAAGACACAGTTGTCAAAAAGGGGTGGGTGGGTACACTGTTGCGCACGCCTGGAGCGAGAGAGGGAGGGGGAGGAAGAATGGTTAGAGAGTCGGCGTGCGTATGTGGTGTCCCGCATAGTTGGGCGACGTAGAGAATTATATTTATAGATAAATATAGGTTTTTTGAATATTTTATTTTCTACTTTTAGTAATTCATAATTTGTGAATTCGACTCTACCAATGCTGCTTTAAAAAACTATATGTAGCTTATGGAGGATTATTATCCACCCCCCCCCCCCACACCCCCGTGAAAGCAGTTTACAGACGTCAATGAAAAGATCAAGCAGATCTTGTTACCTCCCCTTAGTTTTAAACAGTTAAAAAAATTAATTATCTAACCCCAATTGACAGCGATAAGGTTTGTTGCGCTTGCCTGGAGAGCGAGGGTGGGGGGGGGGGGGTGGAGGAGAGTTAGAGCGTCGGCGTGCATGAATGCGAGTTGGTGTTCCGGATTGTCGGGCGACGTAGAGAATTATATATATATATATATATATATATATATATATATATATATATATATATATATATATATATATTTATTTATTTATTTATTTATTTATTTATTTATTTATTTATTTATTTATTTATTTATTTATTTATTTCAGTCAGATTGTAACTAAGACTGTCAAGGAATTAAAATTCCGGCCATTTCATTTATATAGATCAACAAGTATGGAGAGTCCCAATAAATTACACTTTTGTGGTATGTAACAAATATTCGCTGCCCCAAATACATGTCCAACCAACTGCCATGTCCATATAGCTCTAATGGTTTCCTGACTAAGGGCGGCTGGATACTGTGCTGAACACATCTCTTCATACACCGATTTCATTGAAACAGTTGAACTCCATTTCACTTGCTCCATTGACGATAAGGTTCGCAGGAGAACATTTTTACTACAGGAAGAATGTCAGGCAGAGTTTCTTTCAGGTATCTCCTCGGAAGTGCAAAGCCTCCCCCCCCCCCCCCCCACAACCCGAACAAAATAGAGTATATATAGAAAATATATACATTTACCAGTTCCCTCCACTCTAAAAAAAAAATTAGAAATTTAGTCCGCCCCCCCCCCTTCCACACACACACTCAGAAAATTTCATGCGCCCCCGCTCCTCTGAAGAAAAAAAATCTGAAAGAAACACTGGTGACACGGACTAACACAAAAAAGGGTTACCGACAACATAGCTTATCTGATTTATTATGCATGTCGTCTATCTTTATTTCAAATTTTCTTCTTCGTAATTTTTAGTTACGACAGTTTTGAGCCATAACTCTCAGTAAGTGTTTTTAAAAATGTATTTTAGCCAAAAGGCACAGTATAGGTATAATTTAATACAATATATAATGCAATATATAAATATTTATATAAATAGAAAAACATACATAATAAATCTTCTTAGCTATTATTATGTTTATTGGAACACACAAACAAAACAACGATAACGAAATAATTAGTTTTGTAATTAGTCGTTTAGTGAAGTTCACTTTGCTTTCGTCGACTAACCAAAGATGTTCACGTTAATTTTTTTTAAAAATAAAATATATAGATTTGTTTTTTATATTGCTCTTTATAGAGAACTTGAAATCTACAACACATATCAGCAATGTCAAAATTCTAAACAGCTTCTGTTAACTTGTCTTCAAATTCATTGACAGATTTGTTTCTTTGTAGTCCTCCAACAATTTTTTCGCTAGTTTTATGTTTTCTACTACTTTAAAATTTGCTTCGTCTGTTTCTTTTTTAGAGATTTTAGGTAAATTCCAGAATTTTCTAACAAACGGAAACATTAGTTTCGGATTGACCTGACTTTGAACGTAATGTCTTGTACAATAACTGATAACCAACCCAGAAAAATAAGTTATGATTGTGCCTATAACGCCATACCATTCATAAGATATGTTGTAAATGAAATGAAGAAATATGTTTGTTTCCGAAATATCAAAATCTGTAACATTCTTAGTGAAATTTTTATTGTCATTAATACCAAAATCAGTGATGTTTTGGGTACTATTCGACAGAGTAAACATATTGTTAAAATAAGGATATATATTTGTCAGTGAAGTACTATTCATGATATTTGTTGTAACGTTATGGAGCGATGTAATATTCTGAAAACACATTTCAGTTGAGGCCGATGGGAGTGCAGCGGCTTTACTGCCGTACAAGAGGTTTGCAAGAGAGATCCAGATGTTGACAGTGATGCCTATAAGACCTCCAGAAAGCGCTCCATACTTGTTAGCCCAAGGGACTGTTGCACCGAGTAGGAATATGCCCACTATTGGACTAGAGCATGCACCGAAAACGGTCATTGCCGTCTGAGCGATGGAACCTTTAACCTGGTCGGCTAAGTAGGCCAAGCCAATTATTATAACCCCGTACACACAGGCGATAAACTTGGTGATCATTGTGGCCTTGCTTTCTGAGAACCGTTCTAGTGGTTTTTTCAAAATGTCTTCCACTGTATTAGCTGCCAATGCGTTGATTCCTAAAAAAAATTAAAAGAAATATAGTTTACATACTCGGCATAGTGTGTGTAAATGTGTACGGGGACTTTTGTCTTTAGAGAGTGTATTGGGCTGAACACATTGCTAGGAGGCTACCGCTGTCAACTTACATGAGGACAGTGTCATGCGGCTGCCTCTAGCAATTCACCCATTCATAGTGTACTGAGGCTCTCACTATCAATAGACCCAGCGAATTTTGGGGCTTCTTTTATTAACTACCCAGATGACATTGTACTGATGCTACCTCTATCGACTAACCTGAAGACAGTGCACTAAGGCTATCTATATCAACTAACCTAGTAAATATTGAGGACAACAATATCAACTACCCCGATGACAGTGTACTGAGGCTAACACTATAATCTAAACTGAAGACAGTGTACTGGTGCTACCTCTATTAACTAACCTAGTAAATATTGAGGACATGACTATCAACTAACCTGAAGACAGTGTACTGAGGCTACCTCTATCAACTAACCTGAAGACAGTGTACTAAGGCTACCACTGAACAGGGTTGACATGTAAATTCCAGCCATGCCCGGAAGATCTTGAAGCGAATGTAGAACAAAATAAGCCGGAATCTGATTCTTGTTTGTTATAAATCCAGCCTGTAGAAGCATTTTACAAACTTTTTTTTAGTAAAAGCTTTTATTCAGTTCGCAACTTCTGTAAGCTTGTTTGTGTGTGCGTTTGTGGCAAATTGTAACTCAATTTTTTACCCCCTTCTAATGTTGCGGTTTCGTTAAAACTTCTCATATACGTACTACTTCGATGACAAAACAAGTCTATTTATTTATTTTAATTTAATTAGCCGTTAAATCAATCATTAAAAATTAATTAAACGGTTTTGAACTAAAAGGAGATAACAAAATTAAATAACTCGATAGATTACTCTATTCAATAACAGAAAGGAAGATAGCTAGATAGACGCGATCACTCTAACAGTCTGGTGAGCTGTGGTTCACGAGAATGTTTACAATCGTAGAGCCGGTTGATGTAGTGAAGGTTTTTAGGGGCAGAAACGTTTGAAACTATTTGAAACTAAGTGGAGGTAAGAAGATTTAGAACTTTCTGTTGTCTGTAAAGTATGGTCACGGACGGCTGCTTTCACGGGGCAGATAATCGTCTTTCTGATACAGTGAGCAACTAATGCTTTTTTAAAGTAAATATTTTTAGTCAAGTTGATTTCATAAATTAGGAATCACTAAAAAGTAGAAATAATTCAAATATAAAAAACTTAATAGCAACAAGCTTTTAAATGCACTGAAAATAAAAAAAAAATAAAACTAATTGTCATTCTTTAATAAAAGCTTTTGTCGCTTAAATATGTAGAAGATCTTATGAGCGACCAAATCTTTTTGTTAAAGAAGGCAAGTTAGTTTTATTTTCTTATTTTCAGTGCATTTAAAAGCTTGTTATTATAAAGTTTTTTTTTTATAATTTTTTTATTAAGTCATTTATATTTTTGCTTTTTTTATGCCTGTTATAATAATACTCCAAGCTAAAAATATTATAAAATAATTTTTGTAAACATTAAAATAATTGGAGCTGTAGTTATTTTTCAATAAACATGAGATTTTTCTTTGCATTACTTTTGGAAATATTATAATATTCAATATTTTTTATGAGCACAGGCTACAAACAATAAAGAATAAATTTAACAGATGAATATTTAAAAAAAAACTACTAATTATTTTTATATCTAACATTTTTTTGTTTTTTTTCTTGGTGCGTAAATATTTCTCGATAGTTTTGGTGCAGATTTGCTGGTCATCCAGTGTACTCACCTGATAAGGGTCACATTGGATGTGAGAAAAGTACGAAAAAATCACGATGCCAACTAGCAACAGTAGCGCGCCATACACAACGTGTGTTATAGCATTGATGGTCAGAGATATTTTGGCAGCGGTCATCGTTTTAACGGAGCAGACTCTCTGTGCTGTGGCCTGGTTGAATACATTACCG